AGCTTCATTACAACTTCTTCTCAATGGAGATTCAACACAAGAAAGATAACTCTTTTGTCCTTCCTTTTCTAATGCGTAAATAACTGGTGTCACCTCACCTTAACTTACACGTACCTGAGTTAATTGGCATTTTTTTGTCGGGTAAAAAATAATTAGCATATATTTCAATCGTGATATTTTGTGTTTTTTTCTGTTGAAAAAAATTGTTTTTACAGAGATTAGGAGAAGCTTTAAAAAATAATTAATTAGTAACTTATATATGCTTATTCAAGAAATTATGCTCTAACCATCATAATTTTGTCACACATTTTTTTTTACCAACAACTAACAAGTACACATCTTTACACTGTATCTATAATACTATTATATATATATATATGCATAAAGCTAATCTAATCGGTATAATAATACGCAGAATACGTATTTTTTTTAAAAAAAACATCTTCGTTAATCACTGATTAATCATAAGAAATATATATAATCTTATTAAAACTGCATAAGTAATAGAATAGGAGTTTCTCCTATAATCAAATATGTTTTATAATAATATTATCTCGTAAATTAAATGATTTACGATCTAAATATATGATTTAAGAATTTACAATAAAAAAGTGTACAAAATATTGTAAATTATAATATTTTCTAAAAAAAAAAAATTATATCGATAAAAAAAAATGAATGAAAAATTGTAAAATAAAATATCTTCTACAAACTTTAAAGATTGTTCAAGTGAAAATTTAATTATTTTGGAATAACATTTTTATTTTTATTTTGCAAGGGAGTTTTGAATCACATTTCAACGTATCTCTTACCTATATTTCACTAAAGAGAAAAACAAAAGAAGAACACCATCATGTAGAAACTTTTTGTAAAAAAAAAAAAAAGAAAAGAAAAGAAAAGAAAACTTGCATATGCAGGCATTAGATATAGTAAAAACAAGTATACTGAGTAACATCTGAATAGAAGACAAATGATTATAAAGAAATTATTCCCTGAACCCGTAATCATCCAATGTATCTAACTGTAAAACTGATCATCACCATGTAAGATGGGATTAATATATACAAAAATAGTTTTGGGCTTTTGTTGACTTGATTCACCTTGAGTAATACTGCTAGTATTGTATCATCAAGGTGTATTTACTGGATCACACATATCTGTATTGCAGATTGATGATAACTCCACCTGGCTAACTTCATCATGATCATCATGATTACATGATTTAGAAATGTTCAGGTAAGAAAAATGAACTTTTTTATGTCCACCAAGTGCTTGTCCAGATTTAAACACTTTACTGCAAAGTGGACACTTGAATAATTTTTTACCTTCACCATTAACATTCATTTTCTCCTCTTTCTGAACCTTCTTGTTCTTGTTCTTATGACTGGCTCTATGTCCAGCCAAAGCTTGATAAGATGTGAATCTCTTCTTGCATGTCTCACATCGGAACTTGACACCATTAACACATGATGACTCATAACCATCATCATCACCGTCATCAACATCATCATCATCCTCGTCATCAACTTCCTCTTCCACCCATTTATCCTTTGAAAGCATTAAAAGACACATGGCAACTTCTTCAATATCAGAAAAAGTTTGAGAGACTGAACTTACCGATTCTCGCCCCAGCAGTGACTGCACCAATTTCGAAACAGATTTGCGCAGCCGTTTGGATCTTCTTCTAGTTGGGTTTCTTGGAGATTCCGTATCGCTCTGTCGATCAACAGGAAAACTCAGTACAGAAGAAGATGAAGATGGGGGTTTTGGGCCACCATGGTTGGTGGGTTTGGGTTTGGGAGGAATAGGTAGTTTGCAGAAATGAGATCTCATATGGCCGCCCATGGCTTTACCATTGGCAAACCGCCTGTTGCAGATCTTGCATATTCTCTGCTGCTTGTCCATGGAGGAAGAAGAGAAGAAGCACCCAAACACCTTTTCACAGACTTTATTTCTCTCTCTCTCTCTCTCTCTCTCTATATATATATATATATATATGTATATATGTATATGTACATATATGCTTATAGTGTCAAACAGAGTAAGGAGAGTGTGGCAACTTAATCGAGTAGGTGACAACCATTCATTCGCAAACGGCACACAAGGAGTCCGCGTAAACCTTACATTATTTTGAATATATATATATATATATATATGTATATATACATATTAACTTTAGAAATTAAAATTATTGTGATAAGTTCAATGGTTTCATCTGTTAATGAAAGATCTCTTTTTGATTTGATATCTGATTCACTGATTCAAAGGGAAGGAAATGTGACTATAAAGTACAATTACGAAAATTAAGAAGATAGACAAGACAATCCAAGCAAGTAAATCAAATCCTATATGTTCATTATACCATGGAAAGAGAAAATACCAACAAACATATGTAATGAAAAAGGAAAAGTAGATATCTATGGGTGATCACAATAATCTTATAACCTTCTTTTCCTTTAATTTTCAATATTTTTTGTGATCCAATTTGGAGAGATATGCTTCAACGTACCATCTACGCTCTTTTCCCGTTAGAAAAAAAAAACAATTTGTTCATTTGCAATATGGGAAGTTTAGAAAAGAAAATTGAACACATGATTTTATTTTAGTAGAATATTATAAAAAAATAATATAATAAAAAAATTTTATCAATAAAGTTGACTCTCTGAACAAAATTTAAATTACGAAATACGATAAATTCACATATAGAACAAAAAATATTAAGTGAAATATTCGCATCATTTTTATTGGTTAGTCATTAGTATGCATAACAATATATAAAGTGTCAAAGATTAATATCCAACCTGTTTATTGTTATTTTTGAATTATGAAATTTCTTTATACCCACAATAGAGATTTTTCTTTTCTAGTCCTTTGTATGACCTGGATAACTCTAATCACATCTATGTTTAGTCCTGCAATTTGAATTTAACACATGATAAGTTCTCCAAAAATAAATGACACTTAATATGTAAGAAATCAAACAAGGTATAGCATCCATGTCAATAAATACAAAGTAGTGATATTTATTTAGAAGTTAAGTAATCCTTCTTCGTGGAGATATACCAACCAAAACAAGATCATTATGGATTAAGATTATCATGAATTAAGATTTTAAGGTGCGAGACAGATTATTTTTAACTAAGTAACAATTTAATTTCTGTATTTATATAGAAAATAAAGAATCATAAAAAGAGAGAAAAATGCGAAGGTTTTCGAAACCGTATATACTATTTTTGCATTTTTATTGAATTAAAGGTCATGATCATTTAATTTATTGAAGAGATCTTAATACTAAATTCATAGTAAGGTGAAAGGGATACGATGGTAGCTTATGAGTACAAGATATACTTAGTTGGTAGTTTATGTTTGTAAATCAAGTAGCGAATTCTTTACTTTTTAAGGAAAAAGAAGCAAAATGAAAAATAAAATCTCAAGATCATAATAACATTGTAACACATAATTTTCATGCTCCAACGAACAAGAAAATTCTAGGGTAAACGGCATTGCAGTGAGTTATTTTAGCAAAAATTATAGAAATTACCTAAAGAGCTTCTCATTGTAATGTTATAATTAGCGCACTGCCGCATGATTTACAAGAGGTTTGTTGTTAGAGTAAAACTTTGGGCTTCATCGAGCATGATTGTCTGTAGGAGACTGAGAGTCATATTTTAGCATTGCAATGAAGAAATTTTTGTCACAGTGCAATCACATGAGTAGGAAGCCCTCAAGGTATTTTTTTAAATCCTATTTAGTGAAGAGTATAAAAGGAGAGAAAAAGGACACAAGAAGCTAAATATCTAACCCACTGAAAGAAATTATGAGAGAAATAATTTGAGAGAGTTAGACATTGAATGAAAACTAAATTTGGAGGAGATTAAACTAAAAAGTAATCCAAAAAATCTGGATCAAAGCCTCTAAACTCAACACCAATTAATGGAATTTGAGACCTTACCGTATCACTTAAATTATAAATGTATTGAAATTGATTCTTTGAACATTGTTAATGGATTTTATATGGCAGGTAAGAAGGAGAAGATTTTGTTGAAAGATTAAAGACCACTTAAAAGAGCCACCAAGTTGAGGAGCTTAGGACTAGGGTATCGAGTGATAACTCTTAAAGCCTTAACTTTATCAAACCTTATACTACCATTATGTCGTGCTTAATTTATATAACATGGCACCTTTAAGTGACACTTTTATCTAGTTGGTTAAACTTTCTAGCGTTCTCTTTATGTCTTTTCTCTCTCTCTCTCTCTCTTAGTTTTCAAGGTTTCATTGAAAATATTTGTTAAATTAGCATAAAGCAATCTCGTCATCCTAAGATAAAGTTACGAGTGGTGCTCAAAAAGTTACTCCACTTGTAGTTTAATAGGTTTTTCTAATTAAAATTTTAATTGAGAGAAAAAATAAAAGATTTACCTATCTATGCGGTTGTATTAGAGGAATTAATAAATTGATTGATGAAGGCCTTTAAAACCCGATGTGTGATGAATTCATTCGGGTCGATGAGGTCATCACCTTCTTGCAGTTTTCTAATTCAGAAGTTGGTTGTTAAAGAGGAAGAGAATCATAATATTTAAGGGGAAGTAAATCAAAATGTTAAAATATATATATATATATATATATATCAAAGTATTGTAGGAGAAATAAATCAGAGTGTTAGAGATAAAATAAATCAAGATGTTAGAGAGTAAACAAATTAAGTTAAAGGAGAAAATTATACATTTAGCAATTAATTGTACTTAATTGTTTATTTCTTCTCTCGTCCTATAACACTTGTATATACATCGCTGTAATCTTCAATGGAATATATATTAATAAAAAAATATTTTTAATATGGTACTAAAATTTTAGGTTAAGAAATTTCTAAATTCTTTTACAAATCATATTCTACCTTTATTGAAATAAAAAAACTTAAAAAATGTCAACCTACATATGTGACCATTACCCTCTTGCTGCTAACTATGTAACAGTCCATGGAAAGGAAATAAAAACATGAATTGAATGCGGAAGCGAAATAATAGAGTTAGGGTTTACATTCCTTACACAATAATTTAAAATACCCAAAAGGCTACGAGATGACCATTCTAAAGACAGCGAAAATCAAAAAATAAATGAAAGTA